ATCAATCAAAAGGCGATAAAATGGCATATTAACAATAAACAAACAAGCACAATTAAGATGAGTTTAAATCAGCTATCATTACAATTACGAGATGCTTTTGATGAGATATCGACCACAGTTACTAGTGTTTCTTTTATATTTTTGCAACAGCAAGATATCAATAGGAAATAATTTTCCTTAATGTGACTTGCATGTATCTTGCTTTCACTCTATTTCCTTTTGTTTTTTTTTTTCAGGTGAGCGCGTGCAATGCATTTTATCCGGCCAATTATATATCGATCGCAAATGTGTTTTGAATTTTTAATCGATCTTTTAACTGATGATGAACGAAAAAAAAATTACAAGCTCTTATATAACTTGATTTTATTCGTAATTTTTTTTTTCAGTTCACGATTTTCCATTTGCTGATACGCTAGCTGCTTCATTCAATCTTCATTCAGTTCCGTTTCATACAAAGACAACAACGACAACAATTTTTGGCCAATTATAGTTTTTTTTTTTTAGTTAAGTGGTCATTTTGAAAACGACACCAAATGAATCGTTTGCTCATGACACAGGTAAATGAGTTATGGACACAATAAAATAGTCAGTTCATTCTTTATCCTTACTCTATTTCGCTCTTTCGACATTAGATATGACGGCGATTCATCTATACAAAGTGCAGTCATTTAATTAATGCCACAGATTTACTTATATCTGATCGCATAAAAACATTTGGTCTGGCTAGTCAATTTAAAGGAACATAAAGTAAAAATCAAATCAACAAAAATAAGATGGAAAAATAGTGTGATGTGTGTGTGTGTGTGTGCGTATGATGGATCGTTGACCGAATACACGACTGCAAAATATATATACACAGGATAAGAATTGAAAGGCTACAGGGGATGTGCAACGAAATATAAACGCGTTTGAATTTGCAATTCTTGGAGTTGCAAACGCAAGACGCGATCTGAAAACAAAAGAGAAAAACATACACAACAAAACCTGGCCACTGCCGTGGCGGTAAACACTTGCACTTTCGATCGCTGATTCCATTTCGAAATGTATTAAAGGCAATTGTAATTATGGCAATTAAACTACAAGATATAAATTATAATAAGATGATGGCATTAGCCATGCAAACGAGAGCGCACAACACAATTATACGAGACTCAAGTTGAAATTGGAAGTGCATTGTAAATGCATACAGAGAGTATATCGAAATCGCACAAGTTTTCAATAAATGTTTCACAGTTCAGCCGAAATGAAACTGCCAACACAAGATTCCGATGAACAATAACAACAGCAAACACATTCAGGTTATTCAAATGAGTTTCTGAGAGAAAATTAAGCTCTCGAAAAAGAGTGTGAAAGTGCATTTAAAACGAGCTTAAAGTGCAATGGCACATGTTATGCTGTTCGAAATAAAAAGGGCATCGTCTTTTGATTCATTTAACTCGTTCGCTCAATTTACTCTTTTGTTCCTTTCCATTTAATCGTTTCGTTTAAATTTTTCAATCAAATCCATACGGACACATGAACGGCAGAAGATCCGCTCACATCCAACAAACTTTTGAGACCTTCATGGACCTTCATCTTATATTTCAACGAGACACACAAGGTAAGTATATATCATCTTTATGAATCGCATAAAAGGAACTTTCATCTAGTTTCATTTATATTTGATTCCCAAAAACACGTATTTTGTTCATCTCACTTATGGGTATTCCATCGAATTTGTGCTTTTAATCGGTTTAATTCATTTTACCGATGTTCAATAGTAATATTGATAATTTTCATCGCATGCCCGGTCTTATTCATTCACAATTCTTTTCGAAAAAAAGGGTTATTAAATGTTCACCAAATGAATTGTGATTACTTGCAAATCAGTAGAAAAACGAAAAGAGAAATGAATATGCTGTAGCCATGAGAGTGAAACTTGGAAAACAAGATGTAAAGACCGTTGAGAGAAGAAACAAAAAGAAGACAACCGATTAGCGGTTGATATGCACGTTTTAGTAGGATGTGATTTCCAGATTTCTATTGTACAAAAGACTAAAAATAATTTTGTGCAACGTTGTCGTCGTCTATATGAAACGTCGTTCTCGTTCCAATCGACAAGAAGCGCATGCATAATTTTGAAGAAAGAAAAAAAAAACTCGTGCACACACTTTAAAAAGGCATTGCAAGTGCGGAATGAGCATCACAAAATTGCAATCGTAATACTTGGTTGATAAATTGCTGAGAAAATGAAATAGAGAGTGAGAGAGAAAGAGTGGAAGAGCGAGCCCATGTGAGAAAATGACTACAAAAAGCCAACAACATCAGACAATGAATAATTATAGTGATAGTACGAAAGTGGAAAAGCACCCAGTTAATTCAAAAAACAAAGAGAATATAAAATAAATAACGAATTATAGAGAGAGAAAGAAGAATACAACAACCGCTGATGCCGCAGCATTCAACACAAATATGTAATTGCAAAAGATGTTGCAAATGAGGTTTCATACACATGCTTAATGGTTTAGCCCAATGCAAAACATACAGTAAATGACGGGATTTTATTGTCCGTGTCGTTGAGTACACTTCTTTCTTTCTCTCTCTTAAAATTTGTTATGATTCCTCGTCAAGAAAACTGGAGATAACCGACTCTAAAATATAAACCATACACACACTGCAAGTAAGCAAGCAGCACTTGAGTGAAATATTGAATGAATCTTTTGCTTTTTTTCTTCTTCTTCTAAATATATATATTAGAGTGCAACCAATATCAATTGCACTTTGGATTTTGAGAGTATATAAAAAAAAAAACAGAAAAAACGATTGAAATACATATGATACAACCAATTGGACGCCGTTGGAAGAAATTTTTAAATTAGTTTATGTAATCGATGAAAGCCATATGACTACGATCAACGACATTGGTCGTCATCGTAGTGGTCTTTGTACTCCTTGCCATCGTCATTATCGTTGTGAGCATTATCACTGGTGTTCTCATTGTTGATTCAATGAAACCGAGCTCATGCCTCACAAGCCAATTCAATTCATTCAGCTCATTTATTGGATTAAAAAAAAAGAATCTAGATTACGTACTATATTACAGACGACAACGGTGTGCTTGTTCGAAGCGCAATCTTCCATGAAATTACGTTTTGTCAACATCTATATAGAATGTGCCAAAGGAAGACCCAAATCGAAATTAATTCCCCACTAAGTATATACGTATGTATGGTATTATTATCAGCCAATTAAATAGTCAGTTTTCAGATTATTGCTACATTTTAACATTGTTAGATATGGGTCAATGAATTTTATCCGCTTTAAATAGCAACTGTTTTGAATCCTTCTTTTCTGTCCGTTTTCAAGTATACTTTCAAAACTTTTCAGTAATAATTACTCTCTTAAGAGAAAACACAATCAAATAATCATTAAAATCCATTCTAACTGGCGTTCATATTATTAAGTTACTTATTGTCAATTGGTTACGATTCAATGTCTTTCATTGATTTTATAAATAGATTTTTGGTAGTGTCTGTTGCACTATCGTGCGCTCACATTACTTGATCGAAAACATCCGTGATGATAATAATAAGTTTTGATATGGGTGTCACTGAATAATTGTGGCATATATCAACCAACCTGTATGTATGCGATGATTGATTATTCATATTTCATTCTCTCTCTTTTTCCATACGTAACCGAATGTTTTCATTATATACACCCGGTGTGACAATGAATATTTTCCACGACATACAAAAAAAAAAAAAAAAAAATGAGAGAAATATGTGGAAAGAAAGCGAATGAAACTCCAAACAAATGAATACATTTCGAATTCTGTATGAACAATTTGCAACTAGCAAACAATGAAATGGAAAATAAACAGCAAAGTTTCACTTCGTCTTAGAATAAATGCCACAAAATGACAACGAAAGCGCGGTGGCGGAGGCAAACGAACGAACAACGACTGCGATGAAATACAAATTGTGAATGAATGACTCATTGAACCATCGTCGTCGCTGTCGGTACGTTTCACATTAAATACATAAAATGCATGTGCGAAATAAATAAATGAGACTAAGCCTCTTTCTGTCGTAAGTAAGCTTTGCAAGTAGAGAGCAATATGTCGTTTACGGGATGTCATATGTGTTTATTGTGTTCTTTTCTCGTTCGTTCGTTCGTTCGTTTGTCGACGTTTTAGTTATTGATAGCAGCTCGATATATATTTAATGCTAGCACATTTTTTCAATGAAAATTGCTAATATGTCAACACATCAAATGGTCTCAACTAAATTTTCAACTTGAAGTAAACGCACACGCAATGAATAATATACTATAACTATACGCTTCATAAAAAATTATCGCGACACCAAAAAGAGAAAAAGGAGAAAATTGAAGTTTTTTAAATTTGCGAAAAATTGTAGCTATGTCATGAGAATATCAGCTATTTTAAAGATTTTAGAGTCATTTGTTGCCTAATATTTTTGTTTTGAACAAGCGGTTTTTTAATATGTGCAGTGCGATTTTTCCGATATGAATGAATTAATCAGATAAATGTTGGATACTTTCTTCTGTTCTCGTTTCATATTTGCTTTGTTTTCGGATGATTGTATTTAGTACGCTTGTATATGCCGGCATATACTGTTGTTGTTGTAGTATTCGACTCGATAAACAATATGCTCAGAGAGTTTATATTTCTAATGTAAATAAATTCGCCTTTCATGCACTATATGCCCTAACGTTGATTCAATTTTTCACATATTAATGCACATGATTGAGTATCCATGTAGCATCAATAAGATAAAAAGTTATATTTACACTTACTCTCTCTCGAACACACACACACACACAAATAAAATTTCACACACAAAATCTATGATGCAGGGGAGCTGATTTAATTCAAGCACCGAAACAATGAGTGACTCGCACTGATTTTATACTTCATGCGGCAAATATAATGTAGTTTCTCATGTGTGTTCTTTTTATCAGATATTGTAGAAATAGAGAACTGTGTAAATATTTACCTGATAATAGGAATCCGCCATTTTGATGTCCTTCAGTGATAGAAATTACTTATTCTCACTCTGTGGCAATATATGTTGTTGATTTCTTGAAATGCCGCACTTGATTTCTGCCGATTTTTCCGGAGTGCAAATAATAATAATGTTCATACGAGAAAAAAAAAATATGTTTTTTATAATGCGTATTCTATGTGTTTATCTTAAGTTTCTTCTTCTTTTTTATTCGTTTTAAATTCTCTGCACTCTGTGTTTTGTTCTTTTTCCCCGAACCTGTTAAGTAACACACGCACGACGAAAGATGATCACCATAAACGACGGAACAAAGTATGGAGAGAACAACGATCACATCAGGTACATACTATATGATGAGAGAGAGAGAGAGAGAGAGAGAGAGAGAGAGAGAGAGAGAGTGAGAGAAAGAAAAAATAAACGTTTCGCGTTACGACAAAGAAATTATACACAAAACACCAACTCAAACGCACAAAGATAGTCGAACTCTCTTTCTTTCAATGATCTGACTAATAATAACGATGATGGTGACAATAAAAACAACAACTATAATAATAACACATCGTCTTATTCATTCTCTCGCTCTTAATTCGTGAATTTGATTTCTGTTTTCGTGGATGAATGTGTGCTTTTTTCATTCGTACTTTTGGTGTAAATTAATTTCTTTTCGCACACATTTGATTGAAATCATTTCATACAAAGAATATTTTTTGAGATTAGTTTAAATTCAGCAAAAGTGAATTGATTTCGCCAAAAAAAAGAGAGAAAATCACGAGAACGAATCTGATGACAAACGAATGGTCAAGATCATTTGTTTCGTGACTACTATATCTGAACGATTTGAAAAATGCATATGATTTTATTTCTTCTTTGTTAAATTGAGATAAAACACCAACAACATAAATTTGAAAGAAATTCGTTTTTTTTTTCGAATTTTGTTTGCTGCTGCGCAAGCTTCGTATAAATTGGTGCATCGATAAAATGCGTATGATGAATGCAACAGGCTATTGAACAGTGAGCAAATTATTTGATTTCTGTTGTTGTTTCTATTGTGTTTTTTTTTCTTCTTCTGTGTATTTTCTCCAATTGCAGCAAAGTTATACAATGTTCACACACATTTTATTTTAACTTTTTTTTTCTTTTTTATATTCTCTCATAACTTTTTTTATATATTCTTCATTCTGTTTCAGTATCTGATTTTTTTCTGCATTGTATACCGATCACTTCAGTGGAGATAGATGTCTTGAGTTTGTGAGCTCGTATGCGTGAGCGTACTGTAGATATATATATATATATATTGAGTTTGAGGAACACAGACATTAAAACATGCAAGTGAATGAACAAAAAAAAGAAGAAAATGATTCCTCAGATTTAAATTGTTTTGTTTGATGCCTTTTTTATTATCTATCTATCGGTTTCAGGTTTGTATGCGATTTTTCGCTGTCGTGGAGTTGAAATTCATGAACACATACACAAAAACCTCGCAATAAAATGTTTTGTCGATATGATATTTTTCAAGATCGGCGATATACAATTTGACGGTGTCCGACCGTTTGCCAAGAAAAAATGTTATTGAATTTATGTCGATTGAACTCTTTTCACATACATTCAATTAAAGTAACAAATTCTTTGTACCGATAGCAATGTGAATCGCCTTTAAATCTATGACTCTTTTCTCAAATTTATGTATGCACAATTTCATTTCCGAGTCTATTGGCGTTTTCTCATTCAGAACAAATGTTCTTTGTTTTTTTTTTTATTATTCGGAGCTGTTCTGATGAAATCGTGTCTCTGTTTTACTTGCACAAACATTTATCCGGAAGATGAACAAACGGAAGAAAATAAAAACTTCCAAAACGAATTTGTTCAAATGCGTTGACAATTATTCGACTCTCGATCACAATGGTCATTTGAAATAATACATTCAACTATAGAAAATTGCCACATACCACCATCAATAACAACAAAAACAAAATAGATACGACACTGACACCCGAATTGAAATGAACGTAAAAAATGTGAGATGATAAGTAGTAATATTCCTGAATCAAATCATACGAACGAAACAAAAAAAAAGTTGAACAACTTATCGAACACAAAACAGTTTCACACACGGCGACATATTGAAATTCCTATGCATGTAATTGTCTTTCTCTCACTGTTCTCGCATTTCGTTTCATTCTTCATTTCGTTTCATGTGTTGTGCGGTGTGTCTGCCACAATTGCCAGTTTTGCTTTGAGTATTGCCAGCGCTCAAATGCCTCTATTGCTCAATTCGTGCGGCATTTCATATAAATAATTCGACTTTTGTATTGTTTTCACTTTTTTGTTTCTTTCTCTCTCTCTCTCTCTCTCTCTCTCTCTCTCTCTCTCTCTCTTCTCGCTATTACACAATGTAATGAAATAATTCGATAATAAAAATGTAAAAGTAAAAAAGAAAATTCAGAATAATTTTAAATAAATGAAATACATCGCTTTTGATAGAGAATTAAACTTTTATTTCTCAGAAGAAGAAAAACCGTACAAATGACATCCATTGGAAAGAAGGGAAGAAAAATAAAAAGCAACACAATGAAAAATTTGGTTTTATTCCAAGCGAAAACATGCTATTATTCGAATGAATTACATTATTCTATACAGGCATTGAAAAGAATAAACTCATTTGAATATTTTGTGTCGCTTGCCAGTTGCAAATTCGCCGGAATTTTCTTGTCCAACGAATGAAAGACAACTGCAAACGACATTTTATTCACATTTTGGCATTAATCCCAAAAGAGAGTTATTGTGCATGCGACTTTCATACGGTCATTTCGTTAAGAATTCCTTTTTTTGCGTACTTGCAAGACATTATTGACGTACGAAAAATCTAAATAACGTCCTTGAAATCACTTCTCATCATCTTTTAATCTACATGATATAACTTAAATTTTAGTGTTTGGAAGACTCTCATTCACTTGCTCACAAATTAGTACTTTATAAATCATTTTTTTTTTCAAGTTCAAAAACTGAACGTTGTGTAAATTTCTCAAGAAAAAAGCATTAGAGGAACGTAATGCAATGTTTGTACCCAAACATAATGCCAATGAAAAATGACCAATTTAGATTTTTTTTGTTATAATTCAAATGTTTAAAAAAAATGTTTATATGCTGTTGGTATTGACATTTTGACGTTTGTGGAATGTTTGCTTTATATTGACATCCGCTTGTTGCTCTTTAGTGTTGTCGCTGCATAGCAACAAAAAGGTCTATTTGCACATGAATTGTTTTGAAAATGAGCTACTATGACAGAAACGGATCAAAATTATTTCCATTGAAATCAATATAATAAAAATTATAAAATGGACTGCATTGAAAATGTAGCAAGAGATATAAAAAAAACCGCACAAAACCCAGTAACTGAAAGTGAAAACCTTATAAATCCATTTTATACGTGAAACTTTTTATTAAATGTTATTCTGAAAGCTTCAAAAAAGCATTTTATTAAAGCTTTGAATAAAAGACAAACTAAAGTCGATTTTAAAAAAATTAAAATTAATCACACAATGATGTGTCTATCATATTTCTCCTTTCACAATAAACTGTATAAAAAAATTGGGGAGGCAGTGTAAACACATTCTGCTTTTGTAACAACTCTATTTGTCAGTATTGAATTTCTTGTGCATTGAAAGTTGATCGTCCAAGGTTGCGAGATATTTCATTGAAGATAATTCAAAAAAATTCATTGAGAAACTAAGACAGAAAACGCGCAACAAACGTAATCAAGATGGTGAGATCTGTCAATGATTCTCATCGTTGACATCGATACAAGTGACAATGAGTTAAGAATCGACAGAAAATCGAGAGAAAGAGAGATAGAGAAATAAAAAGATAACAGTTGAACACGATGTCTTTTTATCTAAATTCGAAGAGACATCCAGACATCCAGTCAAACGAATTTAACAAAATAATCAACAATAGTCCAAAAATAACTAAATCAATTCAATTCTTAAGCTCTGATTCTGTGGATGTTTCTATTTCAATTTAAGTGTGTGTGTGTGTGTGTACATACGCGAATGGTGGGTCTTTGTTTTTTTTATTAATGATGTATGCTATATTCTCTTCTATCTTCGAGGATTGTAGACAACGTACTGTCACATACGATGACACTTTTCGTGCCGTCGAATGTGCGCTTCAAATCGATTCATCATCGGCCGATATTCTCATGTATTTCTTATTCTTTTCCCAATCGTCCCATTTTAAAATCGTTTACATATCTTTTCATTGAATTGATATATTCCATTTCCAATTTGATATCATGAAGCTCACGAATCAATCGTGCATAGTTTGGAAGTATTCACACTTGTTAACATAATTGAATAATAAAAATGAACGTTCAACGTAAGCGAACGTAAGTGAAAAAACCGATTAAATATTGGAAGTTTTTATTTTGTGATAATGTTTACACATTAATAGGTGATTACTTGCACCTGAATAATGTTTGAATTATATTTGTGTGTGTGTGTGTTTTTTTTTTCTTCATTTTGTCGATGACTGGCGATGCATTTAGATGCTATTCAACTTCATCGAAATGGAAATAAAACCAAACAAACACATAAAAATACGCACGCACGCACGTCAATTAATTCGAATGTTATGTTTCTGGTCAAGTTAAAAACATAATTTGTTTGATGCCCTCTTAAATGAAAATCACGATTAACATATTTAGTGGCATTTTTAAGTCGAAAAAATCCATTTAACCGAAGAATAAAACGATATTAAGAAAAGCAATTTTTCGTTGAGAGAATCATAGCTGGGCAAAAATGAAAACAAAACACAAAAATTACAATACGTAGGAAATAAACGTAGATTATTTATGTTGGTTACATGGTAATTGCTCTATTTAAACTGTTCAGTTTTGAAGCATAGAATAATGAATAAAGTGCAAAACTTCCCTGCAGCCAAGTGTATTGAGTGCATTGCATTGCGCGTTCGCGTAGCCACCATTCTCTCATTGGCTCCTTTGCATCAATTAAATGTAATTTGAAATTCGTGAAATTCTAGCTCTTGTGCAACGGTTATTAAACACATTTATTCACTTTTGCCTAATATAATCGGTTGCCGATTGCCGGTAAAAATTACGTGTGTATTTATTCTACACTTCCATAAAATAGTTCGTGTCATAATTTTCTATTTGATGGAAATTCGCGGAACATTTTTTTTTAGTTCGCCTTCATACCGATCGAAAGTCCGGTTATGAGTGGCAGGTGATGAGAGCACCAAACTTAAAGAGCAAACCACTTGAAAATATGCAACTTTTTCATTTGCTTACACTCTACATTTGACCTTTTCCCATTTGAATTACAGACATAGTGATCTCAGCATTTTTTTCTTCACAAACTAGATGATTATAAATACGCTGTAAAGATTACAATGGAGAAAGAAAAAAAACTCTTAAGCATGGATTGATAGAGAAAAATATGAGAATTGAGACCGATGTTCACTGGTTGGGAAAATCGAGACAATTCAAATTACATACATTTCTCCTGTATATAGGAAAAGTACAACGTCATCGTGCGTATTTATGGCGACGATTTCACGTCTATTCCCAATTTTTGGTGCTGCTGATGTCGTTGTGGTTTGATTCTTCTTCTTTTTTGATGTGATGTCAAAGTCATTGTTAGTGCTAAATTACAATAATTATATCTATTAAACGCGCCGGTATTTGCCTTTTGATTGAGTTTGATGTGTACAGGTTACAGTAGTTACGTAGCACAAAAAAAAAACGAATTTTTGAGACGGACTGTGGAGATATCGTGAATCGAAAAAAAAAATCATAAATTGTAGTCCCAAATTTGGCAATTGTGAGTGGTCAAAAAATGTGCAAAATTACGGTTGAAGTTTTGAATTCACGTGCAGATAAATATGGACTCTATTACCATTGCACACTTATACATGTTTGCCAATCTCTCATCGAAATCACATAGAAGGCTTGAGCGAGGCAAATGGAAAAGTAAAGACTTTGGTTGAAACAAATCCAATCAAAATCTTACGCTCAATCGATCCTCTATCCGAATGATAATCTCATTCATAATAACGTCTATAATATTTCTTGCATGTTTTTTGTTTGCTTTCGGTTTCCGTTTTATTGATCGTGGACACTTTACATTTTCCTGCTTATGTTTTCTCATCAATCGAAATAACCCACCCGTCCCATCCTACAGAAAGTAAAACCGATTGAATTTATTGGAATTTCATGATTGATGACATTTATCAAATCCAGCACACAACAATTTCGGTCCAACTTGGATTCTTCTTTTTTCACAAAATTCAAATATTTCTGTTACAGAGGTAAAATCATTTTTTTTACCATTTGAACACACGCAAATTTCAGTTTGGTTTTGAATCATAAGAACCCAAATCGTTGTTGTTTTTGTCCTAATGTTTTTTCTTCTGTTTTTCAAAAAGATGAAACATAACGCTGAAATTAATGATGCATATTAGTCGCGGTCGTTTGATCAACATTTCTATGGTTCTAGACGTATAACATAAAATTGCCTCGAGAGAAAAATGGAATCGGTCAATTCAGTAGCTGATTTTGTGTGATAAATTATCCCCTAAAAACTGTTGAATATAATCGATGCTCTGGTTAAGAATTTCGAGGAAAAAAAACAAGATCTAACATCTGTAAAGATTTCGCTACTGTATGCCATGTATTGGATGGTAAAATTTAACGATTTTAAGAGTTCCAATCAAAGTCGCAGTTTATTCGAAATAGTTTTTGTAGTTAATAAGTTTCGTTCCATCCATTCAATAGAATTGATTCATTTGAATTAATATTTTAAATTTGAAATTGTCACGTTTTGTTTCAATAACATATTTGGATGAACTGATGTTTAGATCTGCTACTTGTCATAACAATTGAACGCTTGTTTAATCGCATTACAGCGAATGATTATTTTTTTTCAGTGAGAATCAGAAACTGCAGTTGTGTCCATTTTACTATCATTGGGGGAAATAATAATAATAATTTGAATTTTGCGGGCATAAAATAAACATTAACCAAAACTTCACATTACTATGTGAATGTTGAAAAAACTATTCAGTACGCCGGGGCGAAATTTTTGGTCAAAAATTATTACTGCTGTTTTTTTCGTCTCCCATTCAACTACTAAACATCATTCAATATAATAAAAAAAAATCAA